ACTTAGGCAACGAGGCAGAACTTTTCACGACCCCTCGTACCCGAGAGCGTCCGAATCTCGTCGCTTCCCCTTTCTCCGACGAATTTCGGGGTCGTTTCGCTATCGGTCCCACGACTTCCAAAGGGGTAAAACCGAACGAAAACGACTCCCTGCCGAGTGCCTCTCGATATGCAAGCCTTCGCGTCTCCCAATGTGCATGCCTTCGCGTTTCTTACTCCATCCAAGCAATCCGTAGCGAAACAGACCCTCCATTTTTAACCTTTAAGACTCTGCATCTTCTGAAGCCGTTCTCGCAAAACTTGGAATTCGGATTTTTTTCCGTTACGACGAAGCTGTGAAAGCGACTACTCCGAAAAAAGGAAGACGGACCCCATAGGGAAGAGCGACTAAAGGCCCGTTCGCATCGTCGAGGCCTCGCCGCAGCCTCGCCGAAGGTGCGGCTGCGGCTGAGGCCATTCTGAACGCACCCGTCGAAAAGAATGGAACGAATGTCGACGTCGAAGTAGCGCCGTAGCCGCGGCGCACCGACGCGAGGAGTTCGAAGAGCCAAACTTTTGTTACGGATGGCCAACGAGGAGTCGATGACGTACTTACGGAAAGCCAATAGGAATGCCGGTCGATACGGCGGCCGGCACGAGCTCCGAAAACCCGAAACGGCCTCACCGACGCGATGGACTCGAGATTCGTGTACGTCACACGAGGTCTCGAAAATGCCCTTCCCACAGATATCGTTATCGTATTTTCGATACCAGGTCTACCACCGGTTTGCGTGATGGGCATGGCCCGCCGAGTCTTCGTCGAGCCGAGCCGGATGCACAAAAACCCGTTGAGGTCGGCCTACGTTTAAAGGAACGGGAGAAGGCATTATTTGGGGAAAGAGTAACTTGGTTCTGAAGCTCGTTAGGCTGCGACGAGGCCTCGCCGAAGGACGAACAATTAAGTGCGAGTCGACGGTTCACATGCATTCCTCGTCGTCCTCTCGGCCCCAGTCCATTTTTAACACCCAACCTATCTTCGACGATTCCTCGTCGTCTCGCTTCGTCGCGGTGAATCTTGATGAAATTTTGCACCTCTCGTGTCGACACGTCACTTCGTGCAGGGTGCAAGTCTCGTGCAAATATCCGAAACGAGAACAGAGATCGATGGGATCGAGTGCGGGTGTCTTTTTCGTGGATCGTGGGTATCGACGGGATCCCTAGAGAGTGTTTTTGTCCCGAATCCGTGAGTTACGTTCCGAAAACGACACGTTAACGTACCTTTCACTCGTCGTACGTTAACAACTAAATCGGATGCTGGGTTTCGAGTCGAGTTTCCTCGATTCGTAATCCGTACGCTTTCTTTCTTCGTTATTTTCCACCAGATCGAAGTGAACTTCGGGGATGACATTTTTTTCGCGTCGCCTTGCGATCGCGCGATTTCGTCGAGAGCGGCTCGATTCGAGAAGTTCGCAGATTGCAATAGGATCGGATTCCAACGACCCACCTTTTCCTTCCACCCTTTCGTCTCGCGCGACGAAACGAGTTCACATTCGTGAATAATGTGACACGAGGATTTCTTGCATTGCAGGAATCGGCAGTTGAACCCGATGGAGACGGACGAGCGCTTGGTCCAGGAACGGTTTCCTCTCGGATCCCTGCTTTGGAGTTTGCTTTTCAATAAATCCGACGCCGATCGCTTCAGTGAGATTCCCACTCGCGAGATGCGGTGCCGATTCCGCGACGCGGAAACGCGAGACGAGATTACCCTTCGCGACGGGACGCGATCGAAATCGCGTCCCGTCGTGGATGGCATTCCGTCCCGAACCGAAACGACGTCCATCCGCATCTCCACGCGAGGAGTGGAGAAGGAGACGAAGGGGAATTTGAAGGAAGATCCGATTGCGTCCCGCAGGGGAATCGCGGAGTTCCGATTCCGTCGGGTAGATGTCACCTGCTCCACGGGAAAACGTCTCCGTCGGTTCGCACGTTTATCCTCGTCGTTCGTTCCCGACTCCGACGGTTGGCCCACCCGTCGGGGTGGACGCCCCTCCTTCCTGTGGGTCCGTGCGTCCGTGCTGCGTCAACAAGCCCTGCCAAGTACGAGCGACCGAGATGCCAGTGGCGTCCGAGAAAGCCCCACACCCGCGAAACGAGGCAGGGAATCCGGGGAGAATCCTCACCGTCGTACTGCTGTCACGGGCCGTAATAATCCACGGCCGAGGTGCCGTCTCGAGGTTTTCCACCGCATTTTTTTTCCCCGGGGAAATTGAATCCTTCATGACTTTTTCCCACATTACAGTCGTGGATATAGACGAGCCAAACGTTCGCGTTCTAGCGCGTAATATCGTACAAGAATATTCCGTGTTTATTCCACGTTCCGCTCCGAGCATCTTTCTAAGAGTAAAAAAAATTCCTGATTCTCGGTTACGGTTACGAACAGTTTGAGAAAAAAATGAAGAAAAAAGTATATCCTCGACACGATCTTCTTGTAAGGTTGCTACGTGTACCGATAACGACCACTCGTATCCGTGTGAGATCCTAAAGGAATCTTTTAAAATTTCACTCAAATTTCATCCAGAACACCAGGAATCTTAATCGTATTCTTTCTGGGGATACTTGGGATGTTCCTACCTCCAAGAAACCCTCAAAAAAAGGTGTTCATCTCGTTGCGCGATGAAGATGTTCTTTTTAAATTAAAATTTAATTTGTTTAAGGCGGAAAGGTTCACGTCTTCGTGCGTAGAGCAGAGGAAGCGACGAACCGATCGCTCGTGCGACTGCCTGGGTTACACCCTCCGGTCGTGGAGAGCAGAAATCCGATCCCTTCTGGGCTCTCTTCATTTTTAGCCGGACGGTGAGCCGAACGCGTCCCCGAAGGCGCGTTCGAGGCGCGGAAGACGACGATAGAGGCAGATCCATCGCAAATCGGGACCATCTCTTCTTCCGACCTCTGAGTACGTGCGAAAGCCGACAGCGGGGATTCCCGATCCATTCCGGGTCGATTTCCATCGCCTTCTCTTCCGTCTCCTTCCCGAGGAAGAAGAGGAAACGAACCGTCCTCGTTCGCGGAATCGCCATTCTCGACGAGACCGGAGCGAGCGACGGCTCTTTCCGATCGTTACGCTGTTTTTCGATGGAATTCCTTTTCCCCCTCGGGTCGAAGAAAACGGTAAGAGCACTCGAGAGCACCACTTCCAGGAGATCCTCTTAGCGAGGTGATCCGCGCGACCATCCGTCGCCGAGATGCCGCAGCCTGCAATCGATGGAGGAGCTCCTACGTGCAAGTACGAATTCCATCCGAAACGAGTGCATTTCCGTGTTTTCTCGAGTGGCTCCGAGTTCGTATTCCTGAAAGGATGCAAATAGAATGCGAACACGGAACGATCGCATCCGACGCTTCCGTCGCTTCTTAACGCATTCGACTAACTCGACAGGGTGGACACGAAGTACCATTCCAGACGCCAGTATGTTCGTATTCTATAAAAGTTTTTTATTTTTTTTTTTTTTTTTTTTTTTTTTTTTTTTTAGTATGAGAACACGATCGGAAGATCCGGTACGACGGCCATCCACATGGTCCTTTCAACACGATCGAGGAATTCGTGTCGGAATTGCGCATGAAAACTGTATCGCATGCAGACCGCATTTGCAACGACCCTCCACCCCCCACGGATGATTCAAAGAAAGAGAAAACTCACTTGGTGAAAGATGACCAAGTGCTTGAAGAACGATGGCACCCATGCCGACCTCTCGCATCGGACCCCCTGACACCAGAAATGGGACCGACGAAGAATCGTGAGGTCACCCTGTGCGAGTCAAGGTTCTTTCTCGCAGACGACGGGCCCCCCTCCCCCCCACTCCCCGCCCCCCACTCTGTCTCTTGTTATTCAGACCCGTCTGGAAATAGAGAAACGTCGTCGTCTTGCAACTCATCTTCCATTCTGCTTTCTGGGAAGCCGAAATGTTCCTCGAGGCATGTCGCTTGCATTAAATGTCACGACTCATCTTTCTTGCTTCGTTCCTTTTACGTCGCTTTCGTTTTAAAGACCAAAACATATAGACCTCTTCCGTTAGCGATTGCACGCCTCCGTGCAAAAACGTGACACTTCCTCTGGTTTCGCAAACCGTTGGAGACGAAAATCCTCTGGGCATTCCGAGAATCGATCGTATTTCGACCGTCTTCGAGGTAACTTACACATTTGCCGTTCCTCGGCTCCTTCTCTTACGCACGCGTGAACGTCATGATTCGAGTAGGTCAGGGGTGTCAAACTCAAATCGGTCGGAGGGCCGCGTTCCTTACCCTGAAGATGCCTGCGGGCCGCACCCATAATTTTCCACTGAAATTTGTGGTGACAGTCTATCCAAGCAGAAATTTCTAAAACAAACGGCGGGCCGGATCCGGCCCGCGGGCCGTATGTTTGACACCCCTGGAGTAGGTCATTTGAACATCGAGGGGGGTAAGGAAAGACGGTTGGATGTGCGCGATCCACCTCATCGCGGATGGATGTCTCTCGATAGCAACCGTCTTCGTCGAGAAGACAGCGAGAGAGACAAAGCAGGACGCGAGATGTAAAAGGAATACTTCGGGATTCCTTCCGTGCATTCCATTCCTTACCGAATGGCTTCCGGTGCTTCTCTTCGCGAGAGAGCTTAAGACGTGCCGATAGCTCGTCCATTCCGCCGAAGACGAGAGGAGTGGGAGGCACTCTCAAAAACCCATCCAGTCGACCCTTCTCTATGCGTGTAGATGCTCATTCTCATTTTCGATATCTGCTCTACTTGCTCTTACCCAACCCATAGGCCAAATTTCATCCCTCAAATTTTCATGACAATTTCCAAAAAAATTTCCTAACGTGGAGTTATTCCAACCGGTCGGCAAAAACTGGGACGAAGCTTCGTCGACGGAGCCTTCCGTATTCGGGTCGACAATAAGGAGTCTACGATGACGTGAATCGCTCATCGTAGAAAAGGATTCGACTTTATTTCGGGAAAGAATCACAGGCAGTCCTCGTATGAGTTTCGACATGTGTCGTGTGATATGGGGATGGAAATCTGACGACTCGAGGTAGTGCGTTTAGTAGACGATCTCGAACGTTCTCAGTTCGTTCGGCCCTGCAGCCGAAGGATCGGAAGAGGCGAGATCCCTGTCGACACGATATCGATGCCGATGCTTCAGTCGCCGATAGTAGACGGCAGCGAAGAAGGAAGCGTTGAGGATCAACAAGAGGGATCCCACCCCGACCGTGAGGGAGAGGAGGGCAGCTCTTTCCGTCTCCTCGACGGGTGAGGAACTCTCCTCCAGAGCGGTCGCGTTCGTGGGACGGGACACCGGAGATGGGACCCTGGGCAGGGGGGTGGACACCGGGAGGGCAGCTTCCACCTGGGGACTGGCTTCAACGGGGATGCCGGATGGTCCGGATCGAGGTGTGGGGAAGACCGCGTGATGATGGAATCCTTCGCTTCCGTTAGATCCACTCCTCACGATCGTAGGAATGAGCCGATTCCAGACCGCCATCTCGTGCGCTCGATAGAAGCTCTTCACTCGCCCTTTCCCTCCTGGACCTGCAAATGTACGATTCTCATCGGTGAGACGCGACTCCGCAAGCGTACCGACTCGAAGTGATGAACTGCGACTCGGATGAAAGTCGATTTCGGATGTTATTCGAAGGAAGACGGAGAACGGGGAAGGGATGGCATCGGGAGGTCTTCTCACGTTTCATAGAGGAGGGAAAAATTGGGCTCGTTAGTCTGGTTCTCGATCTAGCGTGGCATTCAGGATCTATGTTCAGTGGAGCAGTCACAGGTGACGGCCGAGTTTCATCCATCTCTTCCTTAATCCATTTCCCTCGTCTCTACCATACTCCATGGCTCATTCACACCTGTCTATCCAGATCCAATACCCTCTCTATCCCTCTCGATCGCCATATCTACAGTAAGTGAGGGAGCCGCGACGGAATTCTCATCTACTCGATCAGAGAATCACCTTCCGCGCTGCACGCCACAGGCACGCCTCTTATACACGCGGCATACATGCGAAGTGTGTTTAAAAGTAGGTAAAGTTATGACAGCAATAATCAACGCTTGCTGCAAAATGGCCGACTCGAACAGCTTCTTTCAGACCCGCTATCCACAGGTTCAACGTATAATTGTGTAACCGGCTTTTCAATACCGTGCAGTAAAGCGTATGAGAAAAAAACTTTGGAATGTAGCTGTAACTAAGAGATGCGAAGTTGCAGCCTCGCTCTATCTACGGATCGTTGACCTAATCATCCCTGAGTAGGCCCAACTCGGACGAGATCGGTCGACAAAAATTATTTTATCAAGTTTAAAATCATTTCCAGTGAGGAGAATATTTTCGTAGAAACTTTCGATTTCGAGTCGGTTGACTATCACAGGTGTGTCCACTTAATAAAATGCTCGATGAACCGGAGAGAGTAAACCTGGAAGGGATGAAACTAGGAGCGTAAAGGGAAGAAATGCTTTAGGCCTCTACAGACCGTCATACCTAGTCTAAATGCTGCGAGAACTGGCAGTCCAGGAACCGTATGGAAGAACGAGAGGCAGAAAATCATTCTGAATTCTCGTTTGCGTCATATCATCGATATTATAAGCTGGGATGCTCTCTAGAGCTTCATTAAGTTTTCCTCGGAAAGTCATTAGGCGCATTCTAAGAGCATCGAGGTCGGCAGGCTCGGTCGAATTTGCATGGAGAGCAATTATGATAATAGGATCTCGAGTGGGGAAACGATGAATGGAATCTTTTGGAAACCCTTTCCTGCACCCATCCGTTTCGGGAACATACCGATATCGAAGTCGATGGACGGATTCGTCGGCGTTTCGAATGCATCTCTTTGCCGCTTTCGCATATTTGTCCGTCCACGTTTTCCCCAGGAGACGCTTCGAGATGGCTAAGAGTGGAAGACCGAGAGCGAAATGAACCTTCTCTCCTTCCTCTCCTACACGAGAGCCACCAGTGCTTTCGAACTCGTCTACTTCCCATTTTTCCTTCGGTCGGCCGGGGGATCGTCCGCTCGTGTTTCATCGCGTTTCTTTTCGCGCTCGCACTTGCCGAAAGAAGTCTTCCCGCCCGGGTTCCGTCGGGGAACGCCCGTCTTTCGACGCGGGGATCGGCAACTCTTTTACGCAAAGCGAGCCGAGAAAAGATTAAAGATTGCAGACGGTAATAGCGAAAAATCGGTGTTCGATGTTTCGTTCGCAACGTTTCTTTTTCGCTGATAGAATCCACCTCATTCATCGCTTGACGATGCGAGTCGGTTAAAGAAGGCGGCAGTAAACCCACCTCGTGGCTGCTCTGTTGCCGACCCCTGTCCTCGTGCATTCCCAAGTCGATTCGTGCTCGTGTCTCCCTCGATTCCATCGCATACGATCACGTGAGATTCCTCACACGAACCATCTATTTCGACGTCTCATCGAAGTGCAACGATGAACACGTCGTCTTTAATACCGGCGAGACTCAAACTATGACCGAAATCGTAATTATCGGCAGCGTCGTCCAGTCCGATTGCGCTCGTGAAAGGACTTCAGTGCTTCGATTACGAGTCGCCAACACGTATTTTATCACTCGTGTAAGCATGTTTTTTTTATGACTTTGTACGACAAGGAGTTATTTTTCTGTTGCTTTCTGAGTTCATTCGTTTTCTAATACGAAAAGAGGAAGCAGCTAAGTGGAATACGAGAAAAGTACGGGTACTCCTTTTCTTTCGGTACCCGATCCGTTCCATCACTCCAGTCACGGAGACACGGGTAAAGGTGAAGATGATGAAGACACGAAAGCGATTCGGTAGCTGGCAGGACACCGGCTTCTGATACGTTTCTCATTCGCGATAAGCATGAGTACGGCGAAGAACGAGCGCGACGATCTCGTTTGACCATAACCGTCTCTTTAATATTCGTGAGCAAAGAATGGAAAAACGTATCAGACTACGAAAGCCGACCATCGCTCGGTAAGGGTCCGACGGATGGAAAAGAATATCGAAGCGGAACCGCGACGAGTGGGACCTGAATTCTCTAACTTCTTTCAGAACCGCGCACTTACTTGAACTTCAAACAAATTAAATCAGCCCCTTTTTAAAATTATTTTGCAGCAAAAAAATGTTCAAGTACTTGAAGTCACTAGTACTTGGATTGGATCGCAATAGCCATCTCGCATCTCGTGCTGCAGAGATGACGATGGCGAGAATTCCAAGGAATACAGGGCTAGCGAGTCCCCCTCTTTTGTATCCATTCGTGCACGACATGCAACACGAGAGTGCTTCTGATTTGCCTATCACTGAGACTTGCAAAGATTGCGGAGATCCCCTTTGAGGCTCCCACTGGAAAAAGGTTGGGAAATGCAAATCCGAATGCATTTCAAGCCCCATCCTCGATATTTTTTTCCCTTTCCTGCTTTTGTCAGGGGAGGAAGCAGAGCCGTACCGAGGGGGCTGCGAGCAGTGCGCCCGCACAAGGCGCCGATTGGCTGCCAAATCAATACAAATATAAATAAATCTTTAAAAAAAGCAAATTATCCTGAATTTAACTAAATTAAACATAGAAATTAATACATATTTTTGGTGCTAGGGAAGCTGGAGAGGTATAGAGGGCGCCGGATTGATATCTCGCACGGGGGGGGGGATACCTCGCACTGGGCAAATATCCTCGGTACGGGAGAAACCCACGCATGAGTCCGTTCGAGAAACTCGAGGAATCCTGTAAGAAGGGCGAATGATGGTCTCCCACGAGAGGACGATTTTCACAGAGAGGAGAAATAGACGACATACACGACAGAGGCGATATGCGTATAACGAGGGCTTCCGTTCCCGTGAGCCCGTTACGAGCGAAAGCGCGACTCTTCTCTCTTCCTCGATGGAATTCTCTTCCTCAGACAATTCCATCGAATGGGATGTGGTGGGTGATATCGCACGATGAGCTCATTCGGCCTCTTTGGAGATAAGAGAGCATCGAGCCGTCGTGCCCGAAGACGCGAGAGCGAGGGGGAAATGAGTTTCGAACCGCAGTCGATCGAACTCGAAAGCCCACGCCTCCGCTAGGAAATAGGTCGAACGGCTCCGCGCTTTCTCGTCTCCCGGACGGTTGCATCGGCCGCATCCATCCCGCCTTCGACGGAGGCAACTGCAACGGACGACGTTCGTCCCACCTCGAGCACCCTGGCATTCGAGTCGTGCGTCTCTCGGTCTCGGGTATCGAATTTCGACGAGAGGATCGACCCTTCGACCCTCACGGCCGGAGGAGTCGTCTCCCCTTTCGAGCCAGATCTCACTACGTCTCGATCGGAAACGGCGAGAACGTGGTCTTCGGATTCGACTCTACGGCCGAACCTGGGGCGGACGAACGGCGAACTACGACCGTGTGCGCAACAAGTAAGCTGCATCTTTAGACGATTACTTTCGTTTTCATTTGGAACGTATTTACCTCATAAATGGATGCATGGATTCGCGGAGGCTGTACTTCCGGGATCGAGCCCACGAGATCGAACACTAAAATAGAAGTACGCAAATGCATAATTTGCGTTGAAATGCGAGGCATACGACGGATCGTCTTCGAATGTGTCGTGGAAACGACCCGACGGCAGAGCAGAATGACTCTTTCACCGTCGTCTCTTTCGGTTTCAGGGGAGATCTCATTCGAGAGGAAGGGAGCAAACATTGATCTCTGCTGGACAATAAGTGATAAGTGAGGGAAGTTGTCGTTGCCCTGGATTCCTCCTTCACCTCTTTTGTGGTGATACAAAGAAGGGGGATCTCTCTCACGAGTGAGTAGGCTATCCCTACACCTTCCATCATATACTCTTCTTCTTTCGCCTTTCATTCTCTTCCTGCCTCCTTCCTCCTCTCCCTCCCTTTTCCTGGGTCCCAAGAGGAAGAAGAAATCTCGTTAGCCACACACCATCTCGATCCTTTTCATCTTCACCGACCCACCGTTATGTATCGCCGCCCACATCGACCACGACTCGGCCGGAAGCCGACTCGTACGGCCCGAGCTAGGACTCGCGACTTTGTGACGAATCGGGGGTTTACGGTTTCCTTCTTTTTCTCTTCGGGAAGAGACGAACGAGGGTGGCACAGATGCTCCCTTTCGTCCGAGCAGACGTCGCCCGGTGAAAGACCGAGAGGAAAATCCCTCTAAATACCGTATTTTTTATGTCATCGGGTGCACCGGAATCTTTGGATGGATCATTAACAGTTCGAACGGGATCCGAGACTGATAGCAGTTTGAAAGATGGGGAGGGGGGGAAACACTGCCCGAAATCGATACCAGATATACGAGGATAGCGGAGGGGGAAAAAAGGCAAAAACGTTATATAAAGCTATATAAAGATACAGCTTTCTGGCTGGACGCCAATGAGAAATTCTCGACACTGATGAATCGCGACTTACGACCTCGAGTCGTGTGAGATCTACGTAAATAAAAATAATAGTAGCGATCTGCAAACGGTGACGATAAGATCGAGAAAAGAGACCTAGTTCCAGGTGCCTCCTGAAGAGAGGGTCGTAAGAAGGCCACTCCACTCTTCTCCCTCCGATCTTCATTCCTTCTCCTCCGTTCGGATCTCTACGAAGCAAAAAAATACTGCAGTTGAGCAACCGCATCCCGAAGTCTTTCGAGAGGAATGGGTGCAAGAAACGTGTGTGTGACCCGAAGTAGAGGAAGTTCTTCAAGGCCGAAAAAAGTATGTCGTTTGAAGATTCCCCCTCGTCGTTTGGAGGACCGAACCATGAGGGCAAGTCCTCGCCATGCATCCCTCGCATCCGCCTCTACATCGTTCACAAAAACAACTTGTTACGCGCATGGATTGAATTTAAGAGGGGTAGCCAATCCTAAATTAATTCCGAAATCATTTTAACCCTTTCAGACCTGAATTAAGGCTGCTATCGGAATAATATTCTTTTTTGCATTTTTGAGCTCTTTCGTGATCGTAATTGAAATGTTCATCATTAGCAAGGTTAGTCGAGACGACATAAGTCGAGACAGTACAATGTTGCCGACTACTCGCAGAGATACCACTTCATTGATGACGTAAGGGCAACGTAATGCAACGTAGGTACGAATTTGTGCGCTTGGCTTAATATATTGGGTCTGGGGGCAAACGACGTAAGTTCGGAACGACGTAAGTCGAGACGACGCAAGTCGGGGGATGACTGTATTATATATTATACATTTAATTAAATAACTGAAGATTACAAAACTAATGGGTGAAAGAAGGTCTCTGATGGAACAGGGCCATGCATAATTGCGCTCATTGTAGCGTAATATGGAGCGCAAAGTCATGAGAATTCCAAGAAATTGCCATAGACACCAATGTAAATGCAATGTCCATAGGAATGGACGCCAGGTCTGAAAGGGTAAGTTTCTCACTGAATTGGCATTATCGCTCGGGAATGGCATTCGGGAAAAGCTCGTAAATGGATGGCAATTATATCAACAGCTGTTTGTGATAGATGAGCGCAAATCACGCCATGATGACCTTCCGTGCTGCGTCGCACGATCATCCATCGAATAGGGATGATTCAAGGGCGAGGGTACGACGAGTGCCACTTGATGGTTGCATGATGCCACACAGTGGCATGATGCAACGGAGAGAGGGGGGTAACCTCTTCCGAAACTTTTCATCACTTTCCCTAATGCAGAAACGGAAAGGAGGGAGAGAGAATGACCTTGGAAGAGGTGGATAAGACGAGGTTATGGACGAAGAGAAAGACTGTGGCGTTGAGCGACGACATGGTGTCGGCCAAGGAAACGGCGGGAGCCCCGAATAGGGCATCCGAATAAGATGCGATCAAGGATTCCAGGCACTTGCGGGGATCTCGTCTCTGCCCCGATCCCCATTCCGTGTATTCGTAATTGACGATCTCTCGCACTTCCACCAGATGGGCATCGTACCGAGACTCCAGGAGGGAATCGAATCGGGTCGTCCTTTCCTCTTCGGTACACCCTTCTTCCAGGAAGGTCTCGGGCACCAGGTACGTCCCCTCGGATTCCAACACGCCCACCAGGGTCTCGTAGGGGATTTCGCCCCGGAACTTGATCTCGGGCACGAAGGTGACGTTGTCATCGCTGACGATCGCGCGGTCGACGATCGGACGCCGATCCTTCCATTTGGGCTTCCTGTCCAACAGATCGCGGAAGTGCAAGGAAGCGAAGGGACAGTTCGGCTCCTCGCACCCGAATAAGGACTCCAGATCTTCCGCCTCGTCGTCGGCTGCCACGGAGTTCGGCCCGAACGCCGTCCCGGACAGCAACACCAATCTCTGGAAGAGTGCCTCTGAAACGAGAAAGAACGACCGAACGTGAGATCGGCTTTTCGTCGGTCCATCCTCCGCTGCCCTTCGATCCTGGATCCTCGAAAGCGATCTCGACTAGTGACCATAAGGGTGTGGTTTTGCCCCGCCCCATCCTCATCCCCACCCCCGCTCCAAAATAAAAAATTAATTTTGGCAGGAAGTGATCTTCCCCATATCTAGCCTTCGTGTTCTGAGTGATAAGTTCACAGACTCAACCCTAAAGGAGCTCTTAAGTGCAAAACAGTAGTATTTAAGGTACTAGGGACACCAAAAAAAAGATCCCCCATGGATGGAAATTCTGTTTTAGTAATTGTTGCAGAGGACCTGAAGGAAGGCCTCTGGAACCCCTCACTGCAGTTCTCAGGTGAAACGCATGGCCAGAAAGTAGGGTCAAAGGTCACAGCTGACCCACTCCTCTTCGAAAGCCGTTATCCCCTCAACCGCTTGACCGAAATCGTTGAAACTTGCACCATTCTCTTCGTTTTAAATAGCTCCCTAAAATGAATTAACTTGATTTGATCAACTCGTTATTACGGACATGGTAACGCGAAAAGCGATTTTTGCGAAACCTTTGCACCTCCATAACTTGCGCAAAAATCAACGCATCGATAAAAGCATACGTGAGTTTATGCATTTCCTCCTTTTCTATGTTTGTGGAAAGTGTCATTCAATTCTCTATTTGCGTTTCTCATGAAAGTATGAAAAACTTCTTGACATTTTCCATTGCCAGCTTTAGGCGCGTTTTTCTTAGGAAACATGAAGGATGCGAAAGGGACACCCGATAACGAAATGTTAGATATTGTTCTTGAGAGTTGTTTCCCCAAGTTTCACTGTCCTGTGTGAGTTCCTTTTTTATCCTTACGGATTTAAACAGACTTATATCTTGAAGGTCTGGGGATCTCGGTCAACTTTCGCCTCTCCTACCTTGACCCTCTGCGATTCTTCGAAATCGCAGCTCGCATGCAAAACGGGTATGTCTGAAGAGTGATTTGACACAGGTATCATTTGTATATTCGCACGTAACACTGAATGGTAAGGGGTTTTTCTTGAAAAGGATTGCGATTCCGGCGCAGCAGACATCTTCACGCTCACCTCCGCACTATGCTCCTCCCCTCTCCTCCATCCCGGACGCGCCTTACAACCTCGTTCGAGAGTAGGGGCCACACTCATTGCTATCCCTTCAAAGTCTGACTTGAATAAGTCAGACTTCTCCAAAAGTCGGACTTGAGCTTCGGTTGCACTACCTATGGCAAATCCTAGTCTGACTTTCTCGCAGGGGATAGTAGGATTTTTTACGCTTTGCAAGCTTGCTTTTTCAGCGAATGTGAAGCTTTTCCAGAGTTTTGATGCTGCAAAAGTCGACCTCATGTTTCCAAAGTGAAGGAATTTCATGGAGTCTGAGCTGCTTCTCACGGAAAGCGTCCGAAAACGAAAATAAATTTTATTTTCCACACAGCCCCAAACAAAAACAAGTAGGAAGGGTGCTTGATATATTGTGACGAAAGAGGTAAAGTGGGTCTAATTCTCATGAATGGCTCAATATTTTACTCTACGTACATGAAGTAATTCCAATAATATAGCTAAAATATTTTCAAGCTTTTGTTGCTTTAAGGGTGTAGCCCGTACAAAAATCTCACCGGTGATTCACCGGTGAATCAACGTTGATTCAACGTTGAATCAACGTTGAATCACCGGTGAGATACGGTTCAACGTTGAATCAACGTTGATTCACCGGTGAATCAACAGTGGGTGTTGAAACTCGATGAAGCCACGACAGTGCTGATACCTGAGTGCTGCATAGAGCTAAAGTTAAAAGGTCCCAAATGGAGAAGAAATAGGAATCTTGAATCATGCAGGTTCTTGCAGTCTTTTTATACGGATTAATTCTTTATCCCTTTTAAGTGATGTGATTTTTTTTGCACGGACAAGAGAAGGAAATTTTATGTTGAAAATTTGACAGTAGAGTCTTCTCAGTCACACAGGAAGTGTGAAGAGTCAGGTTTTCACAGACTTAACCAAATAAGTTTATTATTATTAATTTTGACTGCTTGGGAGAGGGGAAAGAGGGGAATCCTAGATATTTATCTGAAGCTTAGGGGAGAACTCCTCCGCAAGCAGGATCATGAGCAACGATAAGAAGGTGAAATTCTGGTAAATCCAGGTGAAAGTTCCCCCTCGCATCTTCGCGCTTGTCTTTGTTATCCTTGTGAGACGCGTTGGAACTATGCTATTCCCCATATGGCTTGGTAGCCATTATGACTGTAAGTCAGTCTCTCCATTGACCCGTCCCGTTCGAGTTAGTGAAGTGTCTCCTTACCAGAATAAGCATTAGGCGTACTATTCCATTGTTGGAACTTTTTGTGACTGCAGTGATTTAAGAGTGTTTTCGAACCATGCACACACGGACGCGCCAAGTTTCTGGATCGCCACGCTTGGGGGCGTCATGTCACTTCCATTGACGCGCTCTGTTCGAGTAAGTGAAGTGTATCCTTACCCAAATAAGCAGTAGGCGTACTATTTCATTACTAGAACATATGGTGTGTAGTGACTTAAGAGTGATAACTTTTCTTAAGACCTGCAATGATTTTGCTTGATGTAATTTGTGTGGATCAGTCTAAATGTTAATTTAGGCCGAACTTTTCTCAACTGAAATAATTTGGCGTTCATTTGAACCGCCTTCAAAACCACAAAGTATTAGTTGGTGAATGGCTTTCCGAGGTGTATATAAAGAGTGGATGAGGGGCGTGGAAGGAGATGGAAATGCTCCTTTGAAAAGAAGCAGCCTTCCAAAGGCAACCTTGTGGAGGTATAAGAAAGCAGGGATTTTGGACACTTCTTCCCAAGAAATCCGATGTGGGAATTGTCATGACAATTCTATAAGCGGAACCACAATCCACAGTTCTCCTTCACCAGACCAGTTGGATATGAACCCTGCTATGGGGAGTGATGATGAAGCATGCAACATTTCCCATTCAAGTACGTAAACAATTATTTGCTTGTAAATAAATCCTATTGATAGCTTTAATTTAGCAGTGCAGTCAGAAGTAGGTGTTCAGTGTTCTCACAAATGAATTCTTTCTTGCATCTTGCAGAGGGTGAATCAGTAGACTATTCTGCACCTGTGGAAGAGTTTTTCTTACAAGATTTTAACTTTGAAGAAGAAGCTCAGGGAGATGAGCCCTTGAGAAATGTGAGTTAGTTACTTGGTTGACATTTCTGACATATGTATCATGTGTCAAAGTGCTCTTGTATCAGTCATGTGATATACTTTTTTATTTTCACATAGGATGATGAAATTCATAGGCCATTATATGATGGAGCCTGCATAAGTCTTGGGCAGGCAATTGTACTCATCATGTCATACACTCTAATGAATGGTGTATCAATGAGTGGACTGGATTGTTTGCTGCAACTCATGCAAGCACTGCTTCCTGTGGGTAACATCTTGCCCAATACACTATACCTCTTTCGGAAGCACTTCTCAAAACATGAATGTGGCTTGAAACAAGTATTTTTCTGTCAGTCTTGTGAAGAAGTTCTTCAACATGATGCAGTATTGTGCATGTTGAAGTGCAGGAAATGTGAAACTACATTCACACAAAGGCAATTGTGGGACAAGGGTGCCTTCTTCCTTGCATTCCCTCTCTACAAACTTATAAGGAAAGTCCTTCAGCAATACCCTGACTTCATACTTGGAAACAGAAACAAAAAAACTGAAAGTATGCAAGATATAATCCATGGACAGCAATATAATGTGAGTCCTCCAGATATTTCATTGACAGTAAATTGTGATGGAGTGCCAGTTTTTAAATCATCAAAGAAATCACTTTGGCCAATACAAGTAATGATTAATGAATTGCCTCCACTAATTAGGGTACAGAATATAGTGTTATGTGGTCTGTGGCTGGGTGAAGGGCAACCTTGTATGAAGATATATCTTGAATATTTTGTAAAAGCATTGCAGTCCCTCAAATCAATATCTTGGCAGTATGGATGTAATATGATCAAATCCAAGGTGATTCCCTATGTTTGCACTGTTGACACTGTTGCCAGGGCAAAAATATTGAATATGAAATCATTCCATGCTGAATATGGTTGCCCCTGGTGTTACCTTCCTGGGAGGAGAATGGAGAAAGGGCATGGAACAACAAATTCTTATGTAGGTACTGAATTTTCAAAGAGAAAGAATTCAGAGGTACGGTCTTTTGCTCGTGGGGGTACACCTAAGGAGCCCATATATGGGATTAAAGGGTCATGCCCCTTGTCTCTTTGGTCTTCTTTTGACATGGTGAATGGGTTTGTTGTGGATGCACTTCACTGTGTTGATTTGGGATTGCTCGTGGGGGTACACCTAAGGAGCCCATATATGGGATTAAAGGGTCATGCCCCTTGTCTCTTTGGTCTTCTTTTGACATGGTGAATGCGTTTGTTGTGGATGCACTTCACTGTGTTGATTTGGGCGTGATGAGGCAGCTAATAACTCTCTGGTTTGAGTCTAAGAAAAAGTTTTTCAGGAACAAAGAACATGATATTGCAGAAATCAATAAGAAACTTTTGAATTTCCAGGTTCCAAGTCCATCCATCGAAGGCCAAGAACCTTAGATGAAAGGGCATTTTGGAAAGGCAATGAGTATAGATCTTTTCTTTTTTTTATGGACCTGTAGTTCTGAAGGATCATCTTCGCCAGGAATACTACTCTCACTTCCTCAAGCTTTCATCATCCATCTTTTCTCTGTATCAGGAATCCATTGGCTTCTTACAGCTGAAATTGTCGGAGTTGGCCCTGAGGTCATTTGTCTCAGACTTTGGATCCCTATATGGTGAAATGAATATGACTTTTAATGTCCATCAACTTTTGCATATAGTAGATTCTGTTTATAATTGGGGTCCATTATGGGGCTTTTCAACATACCCCTTTGAAAACCTTAATGGCATGCTTATGACACTCTTTCATGGCACACAGTATATTCCACTGCAAATTTCTAAGAGATTCCTCATTTTGAATGGTATTGTTGGGCTGGTATCAGAGGTGATGGAGAATGCTAGTGAAATTGCACACAAAGCTCTTTCAAAGGTACTAGATAGTTATGGTGAAATGAAAGATGCCACTAGAGTAGGAAATTCTGTAGTATTGGGGAAGACCTGCATCACAGATGTCACAGATGAAGAAATGGTTTATATGCAACCAATTGTGGCACCAGGATTTGAGGCAGCTTTTCAGGCAAAAAAATTATTAGTGAATGGAGAAGTTTTTTCTTCCAAGGAGTACCAAGGAAGTTATCAGAAACAGAACTACTACTGTCATGGACCTCATGGCCCCATAGAAATCCTTCGTATTTTGCAATTGCATTATCCAAATATATCACCTTGTGTTGTCATCCTTGCTAGGAAATTGAAGATACAGAAGTTCCAGTTCAATGGAATTCAAATGCCACATATTCATATATGTGAACCTGGTCCAATGATTTCTCTGCTACCATCTCAACTTGGGAGGAAGTGCCTGTCATATAAGGAGTCAGGAAAATTGATTCTTTGTGACATGCCTCTTCTAAAGTTTATTGATAATTGAATTGATGCTGATTCATGCTTGGAAATTTTGCTCATTCTAAAAAGCAAATATGATCATAATAAAGCCAGATGTGTTCTTGGCTTGTATGTTTCTGCACCCTAAACACATGACTTATTCTTATCCCCTAAGATTTGAAAATTCTTCAGGGTTGGGAGCTGATCCCAAGAAAATTTGAGAAACACNAAATATTGAATATGAAATCATTCCATGCTGAATATGGTTGCCCCTGGTGTTACCTTCCTGGGAGGAGAATGGAGAAAGGGCATGGAACAACAAATTCTTATTTAGGTACTGAATTTTCAAAGAGAAAGAATTCAGAGGTACGGTCTTTTGCTCGTGGGGGTACACCTAAGGAGCCCATATATGGGATTAAAGGGTCATGCCCCTTGTCTCTTTGGTCTTCTTTTGACATGGTGAATGGGTTTGTTGTGGATGCACTTCACTGTGTTGATTTGGGTGTGATGAGGCAGCTAATAACTCTCTGGTTTGAGTCTAAGAAAAATGTTTTTCAGGAACAAAGAACATGATATTGCAGAAATCAATAAGAAACTTTTGAATTTCCAGGTTCCAAAGTCCATCCGTCGAAGGCCAAGAACCTTAGATGAAAGGGCATTTTGGAAAGGCAATGAGTATAGATCTTTTCTTTTTTTTATGGACCTGTAGTTCTGAAGGATCATCTTCGCCAGGAATACTACTCTCATTTCCTCAAGCTTTCATCATCCATCTTTTCTTTGTATCAGGAATCCATTGGCTTCTTACAGCTGAAATTGTCAGAGTTGGCCCTGAGGTCATTTGTCTCAGACTTTGGATCCCTATATGGTGAAATGAATGTGACTTTTAATGTCCATCAACTTTTGCATATAGTAGATTCTGTTTATAATTGGGGTCCATTATGGGGCTTTTCAACATACCCCTTTGAAAACCTTAATGGCATGCTTATGAAACTCTTTCATGGCACACAGTATATTCCACTGCAAATTTCTAAGAGATTCCTCATTTTGAATGGTATTGTTGGGCTGGTATCAGAGGTGATGGAGAATGCTAGTGAAATTACACACAAAGCTCTTTCAAAGGTACTAGATAGTTATGGTGAAATGAAACATGCCACTAGAGTAGGAAATTCTGTAGTATTGGGGAAGACCTGCATCACAGATGTCACAGATGAAGAAATGGTTTATATGCAACCAATTGTGGCACCAGGATTTGAGGCAGCTTTTCAGGCAAAAAAATTATTAGTGAATGGAGAAGTTTTTTCTTCCAAGGAGTACCAAGGAAGTTATCAGAAACAGAACTACTACTGTCATGGACCTCATGGCCCCATAGAAATCCTTCGTATTTTGCAATTGCATTATCCAAATATATCACCTTGTGTTGTCATCCTTGCTAGGAAATTGAAGATACAGAAGTTCCAGTTCAATGGAATTCAAATGCCACATATTCATATATGTGAACCTGGTCCAATGATTTCTCTGCTACCATCTCAACTTGGGAGGAAGTGCCTGTCATATAAGGAGTCAGGAAAATTGATTCTTTGTGACATGCCTCTTCTAAAGTTTATTGATAATTGAATTGATGCTGATTCATGCTTGGAAATTTTGCTCATTCTAAAAAGCAAATATGATCATAATAAAGCCAGATGTGTTCTTGGCTTGTATGTTTCTGCACCCTAAACACATGACTTATTCTTATCCCCTAAGATTTGAAAATTCTTCAGGGTTGGGAGCTGATCCCAAGAAAATTTGAGAAACACAATGTATGGCAAGTAGTTGTATCTACAAAATGCGAAGTTCATCCTATTCATGTTTCAGATGGTATTTCATGACTCATGATTACTAATATTCTCCTCCTTACCTGAAATTTAGGCATTTAACAGGTAGAATGGAGAATAATCTCTTTGTACTAGTTGAGTGGACCAATGGGAGACAGCTTTCCATTGTAGGGGGGCAACACCTCAAGAATGCAAAAATGCTGTTTTCTAAAGAAGAAGGAGATATAGAATGGGCGAATTTGGATGCATGCCCTCCACCTGATGGTTGGGAAGTACACAGGGGTCAGGTGTTGAATTTCAGCAGTAAGTATTTTGCCAGTCTTGGTTGTGTCTATTTTTATTTAGATATAGTACCTGATTCTATTCTCCCCTAGCCAACAGGCAGGAATTAGAAAAGACATTGGGAGAGATTGCTCTCACAAGGTCTAAGGAAACAAAGAGAGAGAAGCAGAAGAGAACCAAGGAGAAGAGGGACCAGACCATGAAAAAAATGGCTGGGAAACTTATTCAAGAAGATGAAGAGCAGGGAAAGCAAACAAAAGAGGTACTATTAAAATTGACATGTTTTCCTGGTTTTTATTCGTTGTGGTTTGGTTATGACTTCTGATATTGTTTATTGTCACTTTTTTTTCTTTCAGACATTGCTCACTATGGACATTATGGCCAAAGTTCAGAACCTTGAAGATAATTTGAATCAAGTCCAAGGAAAGCTGGATGGGGTAATTCAGTCCCAAAATCAAATTTTTGCTATGCTCAGGGATCTCAACAGGCAGAACTCTGGTATGAAATTTGGTAATTTGTGTTAAGATTTTTTCTGGTTCATGGTGTGAAGCACCTTAGCAGAACCACTACATTGCATTTGTACTGTTTATTTTTAAAAGTGTATGCTTCCTTGATATAGGCCTGGGAGATCAAACTCATAGTTTTCATCAACTTGTGGAAACAATGAAGAGTATAGAAGACCGGTTATCATCTCTTAGTGGGAGCTACAAGTCAGGATCATCATCATCCTCTGCATCCGTCTCTTCGCTGAATATGTTGCCCCTTGATAATGTATATGCTGCTGTGGATTCAGAGTACACCCCAATTCTCAGAGGTGAGGTACCCCCCTTCAGCAGTGAGGCAGAGGCTTCCAATTTCCCTCCTCCTGAACAAACTACATATGGAGTAAGGGCAACAAGTCGACAAAGTCCATTGAGGAGAAGAGGGGAACCAAATACCACCAGTGTTGATGATGAAGTAAGTTCTTTTCTTGGAAAGGATTTGTAATTCACCTAATTCTGGCATTACTCGTGACAAATGGCAAGAATTCTGTGCATCTTGGAATGCCTGAAAAGCAAGATATTTGAGAACCTGTTGTTTTACTTCCAGATTCAAAGCATCCTGACCAGTGTTAAAAAGTTCCGAGACTGGAAGAAGGTTTGCGAAATTCTTACGGAGAAGCTGTTTGGGAATGAAGTTTTGGCAAGGAGCAATGTATCTGGGATACAAGGATGCATGAAGCTCAATGATGAAAAGCTTGAAGTCTTGAAAGGTATGATATATGTTGAATGTCTGGAAAGATCTGGTGGTTCAATTCTCTCAATTTTTTTTTAAATTATAGGTATGATCAAAAGTATAAGAATATATATATTTCCATTCCTGTAATCACTATTCAACTAACACTCAACTAAAAAGGCTTTGCTCTTTTTTGCCACATCATCCCCAATTTCTTTCCTTGGCCTTGTCTTTTTCAATTCCAGGCTGACAGTGTATATATATTGTTTCTGGTTGTATTTGATAACCAAACATCTTAAAAGTATATATATGGATTGCATGTTTCAGTTGGACTTATAATTTATTGAAATATTATTTTCTTTTTTGACAGGATACTTGACAGAGACCTTCAAGGTTTCTGATTCAACAGTCCAAGAAAAGATCCGACAGCGATGCGCATACCTTCGGCGAAAGGTGAAGGATATGTAAGAGCAAAAAGAAGACTTTCTAATTCTATGGATTGCGCAAGTATATATCTGTTAATATCTCTTAATATCTGTTAATAAATAATACTTTTCCATGATTGATATTGCCTCATATTCATTTCGTTGTTGAAACCAGTACACCTAAATAAATTTTTCAATAAATAAATTATCAACGTAAATCACTGGTGATTCAACGGTGAATACTGTTGAATGGGTGTTGAAAACCGTTGAATCACCGGTGATTCAACGGTGAATACTGTTGAACCCCTGTTGAATGGGTGTTGAAAACCGGTGATTCAACGGTGAATACTGTTGAACCCCTGTTGAAAAGGGTGTTGAAAACCGTTGAATCACCGTTGAATCAACGGTGAATGCTGTTGAACCCCTGTTGAATGGGTGTTGAAAACTGTTGAATCACCGGTGATTCAACGGTTTCAATTTCAACACGTTGAAATTTTTTCCGTACGGGGAGTCTTATCCGCCACGCCGCCCGATCAAGTTCTTGAGAGGTGTTTCGGACAGAAGTTGTGACCGCTTTGAGGGAATTCGAAATGACGCACATTGGTCATTGTTCAATGCTTCAACGACTTCATGCCATTTGGACAGTATTTGATTATATTTACATTTTTTGCATTGATTAATTCATACATTCAGAAAAGAGTTTTAACCGACGGATGGCAGGACAAAATAAAAAGTTCTGCTTTCGAGACGAGGAACTTTATTTTGGTTTATGCCTAACTTTATTTCTGAAATCATTGACAAACCGACACCAGGAGATCATAATAAATTCCAACCATTTCAAACGAGGATGAAGTGTTTCATGCTTTCTTTTCCTCTCGATATCGTCATACACCACATGCAACGGATCCATTTCACATCGTCCTATATGAAAAGGGTCAATTCCCCCCGTGATTTTCCGCCATTGAATGATGCGCAACCAGGGAAATATCTCCCGTGCGTGCGCAGTCAATCGCCTTCCTCTCGGTGGATGGAAAATGAAATTGCTCCCGTTTGTGGAATTTCCAGAAGAAAAAGAAAGATATCGGTTCTTTGATGCGATGCAACAAGGCGATGCACTTTCCAGGCATTCAGGCGGAGTCACTCGGACGAAAAGCAAACTCAATTATACTCCATCGAATATTATCGTGATTCCATAGGATGCGTGCATCCGATCCTGAAGGGATTTCCTTCTCTAATAAAACAAATTATTGAAGTGCTAAAATGGGTGGTGGCTTTTCTTCGGTGATGTTTTAATATGATGACTTATTTAGATGTCATCCCTAAGCCGTTTTGAGATATAAATCACAGCTACAAGAATTATGACCTCTAAATTATAGAAATCAGATTAAATCTTCCCCGAAGGTATCAGTCGATAGCATTGAGGCTGTCACTGGTCATTGGGGACTGAATGGAGACGTAGGACTGAAGGAGAACGACGAGATAGGTGGTGGTGGAACCGAGAATCCCGATCAGAAGTCTTCGGTTCACATTGAAGAAACCGCCAGCAGACGGAGGGCCGACTTTGCCGTTCAACTGAGTCGTGAACAGGGCAAGCTCTCCTTGTGTTTTCTCATCCAGATGGAGAGTGTTCATCTTGTGCACCTCCTCGCGGAACTCTTCCTGCGCGTCCTGCAGCCTCTGACCCTCTTCGCACAGCCAAATCAGTTCCAGGATGCAGACAATACCTTCAGTCCATGGAGTTACATACCCCAGTACCTTCGTTGCAATGGAAATTTGCGGGGCTTCCGGTCCAATCATTCGAGTAATACCGAAATACAGGCAGCTGACAAGGTTTACCAAATCATTGGCAATGGCAATGACCAACAGAGGGGTGAACACCCTGTGAAAGCTCCTGCTCGTTTTCTGGATGGCGAAAAATAAAGTCTTCACACGACTGATGCCTACCGCATCGATATCGGTGATGAGAAATTTCCTCAAACCGCGAATCTGTTCCGTCTGAAGGTGGTAAACGAAGCACATGAGGATCTTTCCAACCATCTTGACGTAGATCGTCACTAGAGATCCAATGCAGAAACCGATAGTTATCAGGACGTTGAATCCGATTTGACCCTCGATGGTAGGTCTTTTCAGTGCCTCACGAACCACCATCAAATCTCCGGCCAAGGCATGGATCAAGAACAATATGAAGGGCTTGAAAGAATGCACTCGAATCCCCTCCAGTAGAGCGAGGTTGGGACTGTTATAAAGTTGTGTCCAGGCCCTTACATATGCCTCTCCTTGAACGAACCAGACGATTCGGAGACAGAGGACGGCGGAGAAAGTTGCGCCGAAGCCGATAGAAGATGCAACGGTGTTTAGGTTGGACGACGTCCCGCCCAGATTCCAGTGAACTACCAGTAACCACATCCAGATAGAGAAAGCCGCCAACATCCCGCCCCAGATGCAAATGATGTAGAGATAATTTGCGATTCGGAGAAAGGGACTGATCCGTTTTGGGGAATCGGGATTCAAGATCCTGGCGTCGACGTCTAGGTTTTTGAGGCCGAAGAGGAGTTCCACCCGCCGATAGATCCTCACAGACTGCAGAAGTCGGCGATAGGACTCGCGCTTGTCCCCCGAGACTTCCCCGGCCGCCATCGTCGGTCTGCCGAAGCACCCCGACCGACGTCCTCGGTTCTACTGAAGAGGAAAACGGCCGAAAATCGGAGAAACGATCCGAAGCCGGAACGGGGCGGGGACGAAATACGGGGCAATATGATGGGAATTGCGTCGAAGCAAATAATATCTCATTCATTCGACGAGCCGCCAAGCCGTGTCGAATAAATTGGACCGCCCGCCAGCACAAAGAAAATAACCAGCCATTACGACGAAAGCGGAAGCCTTCGCAAATTGACAGGACGTGGGCGGACGGGAAATGAAGGATTGACCTTGAAGGGCGTCTTCTTCCGTCTGACATGTATTATATTCATCGCCAAAAGAAAAGGACGACCGGAGCTTAGCGATCCAGATGTTATAGTGTGGAAAGCTTCTACTGGTGTACTCATGAAATCGATTAGGGTTCCATGGGTGTGCGACCAATATCCTTCACTGAATCTTGTCAAGCATTTTAACTTCAATGACGGCTCTGGGCTGATAATGATGGACCCGAAGCGTGTTCGTCGAGGAGCGTATCATCGATGAAACGTGGCTTCAAAACTCCTTTGGATGAAAAATCGAACAAAAATTTCAAGGTCGTTGGAATGGGCATGAGGAAAGTGCGAGGCGTCATTGAAGGCGCCAATTTTCGATTTTCTATTTTCCTGAAGCTTCACCATAGAGAGAGAGTCGAATTGGGAGTCGATTCCAATATTAAACTCTGAAGGCAACTTTAGCAAGATTTTAGTGTTGAAGCTATATAGCTCCTCTGCAGTTTCTTCCCGCCCTCGCAGACGTTGGACTCGAAAACTGGGGCGAGCCGCCGCTCGCGTCGGCGTTGACAGGGTTCAAGGCCGTCCGACGGATATTTCCCATCCGGCAAACGTCCAGGTTCATGTCTCGTCGTCGAGGACGAGGTCGTAATTGTCCGGGATTATTCTCGCTGTGGGCGGGCCTTCGCATCATGGGAAAAAGAATTACTAATGCATTCAAGGCATTCCTTGAATGCATTAATAATTTTTCCCTTTTGAAACTTACCCTTAATGATGCGGTTAAGGGGTTAAGGGGTATGGCAATCTTGCGCCTTAAAAATAGAGTTGCTGTTCACAATGAAAATGTTCACAATGCCGTCATTTGACTTCCTGCATGAGGATCGCAGAGGAAAACTTCACGTTGTCTTTTCGTGTTCCTTTATTATATTCAGTTTCTGCCTGCAGTCGTCGCCTTCATCTTTGCGTGTAATTCTGCAAAAGCTTTTAGCATCAGACGTACAAGTTCATTTCTCCAACGTTTGAACGCAAGAATTCTATGCAGACCATCAGCAGTTCTAAATTGCATTCGCATTTACATTCAGTCGCAAGGACTATAAGGAAATCCCCTTTCCAAAGTCTTCCCAATACAAATTCAGCTTGTGTGCGAAAATACGTCGTTCCGAAAGTGCAGCCCATAGCTATTAGTTTACCCTTGGATAAAACTTCCCACCCTGCAAGACACATGCACGTGACCCTTTCGCATCAGTAAGGGTACTGGCACACATGAGCCTTTGCCTTCCTTGGCCTATGACCTAGTGAGGCATAGGTTTGGAGGCATCGCTCCTGAGGCGACGGGCAGCAGTATTCTCGATCGTATAGGCAGAAAGTTCCTGCACGTCAGTGGATCAGGATCGGTGTCGGCTCGAACGTCTCTCCGAGAGTGAGATATTGGCCTGCAGAGTCCATCCCCTCAGGGCATATACCTCCAAAGTTCCACTTTCCATGGAGTCGGCAAGCGAGCAGCCATTCGCGTTACTTCCAGCTTCGGTGAAGGAAGTGCCTGCGAGAGAACCTAGGCCTCGGCTGTGGGTTAGGACTGGGCTTAACAAAATGAGTCCTCCCGAAATGTGCCCCCAGGGCACCCAGGAAAAAATTCCCTCTATAAACAACAATCAATCCAGCTGGAAAAATCAAACAGTCCTAGCTGGCAACAGCTGGATTTCCAGCTGGTGCGGGTCGTAAATTGGTATGCTATTTCTAGCTGGACTTTTCCTGCTGGATGAAGCTGGGATTTTCCAGACATAAAATATAATATCTCCAGCTGGATGAAGGAAATTTCTCGCTGGAAATTGCCGCATTACCAGCTGGAAGCAGGAGAGCTCCTGCTAGAATTTGCTGCATTCCTAGATGGAAGCTGGATTGCGTTTGAAAATTGCTGGAATTTCAGAAGAGCGCTGATACAGAATGGCACTGGTTCTGGAAATGAATTTTAAAATCATCTGGATCCCTGCCCATAGGTCTTGAACTGACATGGGAATTCTGATACAACCAGTTACAATATCAATAACAAGACTTTCACTTCATTTTGGG